CTCTTGAATTTGAATCCTACATTAAGTCCAGCACAGAGGTACCAAGGTTGGTACAGACATCGGGATTCAATGCCAGAAAAGGGCAGCTTTCAGAGAAGTTTGAGGGAATTTGCTGGCACTGTAACAAACCTGGGCACAAGAGAGCTCAATGCCAGCAACTTCAACACAGGGAAGATGACACGGCAGGAAAGGCTGCTACTCAGAAAGGTTGTTGTAACTGTGGAGAGCAAACTCGTGCTAGAAACAGGTACATTTGTGTGGTGATGGATTCTTTCAACAAGTTGCCTGTGGCATATGTATTACCAAATCGGGAAACTACAACTGTAGCTTCAGCTATTAGTGATTTCTTCTTCAGGTTTGGTATACCATATGAACTGCATTCAGATCAAGGCCATAACTTTGAATCAGCTGTGTTCCATGAATGCTGCAAGTTGTTTGGCATATGAAAGACCAGGACAATGCCACTCCACCCACAGTCTGATGGGATGGTAGAAAAGTACACTTGGACAGGAATTGGCAATGTTTTGTAATAGCCACCAAGATGTCTGGGTTGGCTTACTCTCTCCACTGTTGATGGTCTATAGACCAGCAGAGCATGAAGCCACTGGATACACTCCAGTAAAGCTGATGTTTGGTCGGAAACTTCGGTTGCCAGTGGACCTGATAACAGAACGCCCACCTTATGAAGAGTTGCCTGAAAATGTGCCAGAGTTCATGAAAGTGTTATCTGAAAGGATGGATGATATTCATCGTCAAGTGTGTTCAAACTTAAAAATGTCTGCTGATTCCATGAAGTTATGTTATGATAAGAAATCTAATGAAGTCAGCTTTGCACCAGGGGACAAGGTGTGGTTGTATAATCACAGAAAGACCAAAGGGAAGTCTCCTAAGTTGTCTTCTCCATGGGAAGGCCCATATGACATAGTGGATCGTCTCTCAGACGTGACTTTCTAAATAAAATGTGATCGGCGAGGTAAGCCAAAGGTGGTGCATGCCGAAAGGCTTTGGCATTATCATGGTCCAGGACATTTCAGTTGAAATAAATGAACAACAGAACAAATGACACTGCTGAAAACGTGTCACCTGAAAAAGCCACTGTTGATAAAGGAAACTCTACCTGGTTTTGGGAGGGAAAACAATGAAGCTGTTAATGAAGTTACTACCACTAATCTGACTGCTACCGATAATAGGACATTTCCTGATGAAGCAGATGAATCCCACGTGAAGCAGAAGCCAATGAGATGGAGACCAGTACAAAAGAAGAAACGCCCTGTAAAATTAAGAGACTTTGTTGTATTTTAATTTTGTGTTTGAAAATTCTGTATATTTACTTAAGCTATTGTTAATTATCTCTTGGTTTACTGTGAGTGGCTATTATTTGGGACAAAAAATACTAAGGAAGGGGCAGTGTTACGACAGCAGAAGTCACGTGACGCTGGTGACACGTGAAGAATTTCTCGAATGATCAGGGAGGCTCGAGTGCATTCGAGATGCCCCCTTTGTTAGTATATAAGCCTGGCAGAGAAGCCAGCGAGAGATAGATAATTAAAGAATGAACAGTAGCGACAGTAAGTAAAGTGTGTGAATCGCTGCGATTTGTAACATGTATTATAAAAGTAGTTAAGTTTAAAGTGACAAGAAACGTATTGATTGTGCAATTACTGTGTGCCAAAAGTTGTATCGAGGAAGAATAAACTGGTTTAACCAAGAAAGAACTTGTACCACTGAAGTTCCTATGAAAGAATTTCTACCGGAAATTAACAAACAAGCAGATATGTAACACTATCGATAAATAAACTTATAATGTTATTCTACGACCTAACTTCAAACTTTTTTTAAAAACTTTGATAAGTTTTAATATTCTGTTGTACAAAATGGTTAGTAAAGTATATGTACATTCCCCTTTTGTTGTTACTTTTTGTTTCATACAGCAATTGTAGCGACTTGATCACTGAGCTTTGTAACTCTCTGCTGCATGTCATCGAGTGTATAATGTGCATGAGTGGTTTTCTTGAGGAAACATTCTAACTACGCATGCTTATGCAGGAGGTTCTCGGTCATAAAGCATAATGGTCGTACATACAAACAAGCAGAATAATAGTATAGATTATCTTAAATTTGACTATCCTTTAAACAAATTTTCAATTTTGGGACACACCTTTCAGTGTTGTTAAAAGATTTCTTTGGAAGTATTATATATTCCATTTCTTAACTCAAATATGGGTTTGGTTAAGTGTTCTTCACTCTGTTATTATACCAGTGACCTAGGCCTATGCACCATAGACATATCAGGCCATCTTTTATATAAAAAATTAAGCTTGATTAGCTCTAAGCTTTTACATTGATTCCATAAGCAGTTAATTTATTAGAAAACAAAACAGGTTGGTATGTCAAAAAAATCTCTTCCAAAATAATATTGAGTGTTCTGAAATGCTAGAGAAAATAGTAAGGATTCAAAAAATTGGGAGTAATAAGTGAAAGCTTTGAACATGTTACATGTGTGAATAAATATATATATAGACCTGGAAAAAAGTTAAGCACCCCCAAATATTTTTCAGGATTGCTTATTGAAAATAAGGTTTAATTTTCATGATGTTGAGCAATGTTCATAATTTCAAACATAATTAAAAGGAT